AACCCATTCCAGTTCACATATTTAATAAGCAGTGGAGCTTTGCTTTCAGCACAAGTAGTCTGGCTCCTTTTTGCTCCAAACCACTCTATTGTAACACCATTATTAAATCAGTTAACAAACCAGGGGCCTCCCAACCACCTTAACTCCAATTCATCTCATTAAACTATAGACCTTATCTACTTTTAATGAAAGAGAAAAAATGATCACTTACCAACTTATAGTAACAAAAACTATACTGGCAGAATTTATTTATCGCTACCCATCTTAATTCCTCAATAAAGCCAGTAAATGGTTATTACACCAAGTAGTCCTTCAAGGTGCTAAATATGTTAAACATTTTCCAGCTCACTAAAAAATTATATGATTAAGAGTTATTCTAAGAAAACCCCAAGGTAATCTTAACCCTAAGTAAGGCTGGCTAATTCTTCAGTTTTATGGCCAATTAAAAGGCTCTAGATGCACATTCAGAATCACAATAAAACCAAAAAGTACATACAAAAAGTTAACAAACCAAAAAGTTAACATGTAAGCAACAAGCTATTGCTTATTAAAAAAAACAATGTAAAGCTCCAGGCCAGCTCATGATTCTAGAATCTGTGGCATTTTGTGGAGAGCTCTGATTTCATAGTATTTCAGAGTCCTTGAGGCCAGGAAAATACTATGAGGTAGAAGCCCCAATGGTCATCTCCTCCTTCCGCCTCACCTTCCCAACAAATAATCCCATAACAACATTACTTGGATTCTGACTTTGCACATGCTACGTCTTTGGAGACAACAAAGCCCCACTCTAACAGAAGACCTGCGAAACAGACAACTTGAATGAATACTCCTTCACAATCCATGTCCTTCCTGATTATTTTGAGAGAAAACACACTTAACAAGGGCAGTATAAGGCTATGCTTTGTTAATACTTAGTAAATAACTCATACCTATTAAAATATCAAACCTTAGTTCGCTACATTTCATAAGCAAATAAATTACCTAGAGATCTCATTTCTATCCTAGTGTGGAATGCCTTTTCCTACACCATCTCCTCCAACTCATAGCTCTTGATGTTATACCAAAACACCCACCACGCCTTTAATAACATTATAACAGAAATAGTCATCACCCCTGATTATTTTAAATTGCATGATGGCAAAGGGAGCTATGCATTTTATCATCCTTCTCCCTTAGCTCTTCCCCACAATATTACCTAAATCCACACCACAGTAGCAGGTGGCACCACGTGGTATAGACCCCTTCATGCTTTATCTTAGAGGCTTCATTGTACCACTCAACCATTACATCTCCCAAGAAAATGCTCAATGCTGCAACTCACAAGCTCATAACTACATTTTTACTACTTAACTGGAGCTAAAAAATGAGCTTTGTAGGTTATGGCTGGGAAAGGTTTACATTTTTCAGACAACCAAAATTAGGAGATCATTTTGGTATGCAAAAGACGTCCACCAAATAAAGCAATAAATTTAACACTAAAAGCCTTTATCAGGGAGAGCATGGTTCACAACCATCTTTCTTTGTACAGCCCTTCCCCAGAGTTTAAAGCTTCGTTAGGCTGCTACACTGCATTATCCCAGCAACTGCCAAAGCCCCAAAATGAGGCGAATAGATGACAGGGAGCAGTCTGTACTTAATATCCCTAATTTGTAAATGATGAGACAGAAATAGCAACAACCAGTTTCTAAGCCAACAAAAGAGAAATAAATGGTGAAAATCTCGCTGATTGGAAAAAGTCCTTTCCCATTAGCAGCAGGCATGGACCGCTCTGTAATGTGCATGCGCTTTTTCGGGGAGTCCTGGGGAAGCTGGGACTGAGCAAACACAGGACAGAGGCACCACTGGCCTTCGGTAGCAAGCTCGCTCCCTCTCTTCAGGCGCCTCTTTCTTATTCAATGCCAACCACTAGATTCAAACTCCAACCTGAAGAGCCAATAAATAATCAAACTATCTACAGGAGTATAGTAAATCAATAGAGATGGTCCCTCTGAAAAGAGTAAAATTTGCTACCCTGATCATATTTTCTGACTTATGACTTTAAAGCTTTTTCCTTAATAGGTGAAATATAAATAACATAGAGATGAGTGAGCAAACATATTTCTAGTCTGTACCATTTCCAGGTTAAGAAGGTGAGAAAAATATGCATCTCCCAATCCCACCTATGTTCCAACCACTTTCCCCAAAGGTAATGAATATAAATCATAGGGTTGGAAAACTGCCCGCTGGCATCCACATGAAGGTTTCCAAACATCAAAATTTCTCCTAAACTGGTTGAAACTATTTCTCCATGCCAAACTCCCCACACTCAAACAAAAAAAAAAAAAAAAACTTCCTTTCTTGTGTAGTGGTTTTCTGTCCAGTGAATTAATCAACTCTTGCATGCTCATAAATTATTACACAAGAGAATTTAAATGTAATTTTTTTAAAAGATAAAATCTAAGCAAACCAAAATTTATCATAGTTCAATGACTTGTTAAAAACAAAATTCTCATTGAGCCCTGGCTGGGTGCCTCCGCTGTTTAGAGCATCGTCCCAATATGCTTAAGTTATGGGTTCAATCCCTGGACACATATAAGAAGCAACCAATGATTGCATAAACAAAGTGGAACAACAAAATAATATATTTATATTTTGTTTCTCTCTCTCTCAAATCGATTTTTTAAAAATGGGGGGAAAGCACAAAACTTCCATTGAATATGACCAGTAAAGCTGTTACCTTTGTCCTCAGAGAGTCAATATTTCAAGAGTTATGAAAGGACGTTATTCAAAAGAGAACAGCTATCTCGTAGGCCCATAATTACCTGTTAGATCCAGGCCAGCATCTGGTCAACAGGTGGCAGGCATTTAGTTCTATTCGTCAGAAATTTAAATTTTATAAGATCGCACTTTTTACAGTTTAGGAACAACCCATGATTACGTAGAGGGGGAAGTGTTTCTTTTCTAGAACAAATGTATTATTTATAGAAATCCAAAACCTGATATACAGTCAACTTCTAAATTATAAGTACCTAGCTTAAATCTACTGACTCCCTAACATCATCAGGTAGCACACTACCTGTTGTTCTTTCCACTCATTGCTTACCCTGTATCTCATGGCTACTGTTGAAGGGCAACTAAGCTGCTCTGGGCCACAGTGTCACCTGGTGGTTGCCATGCCAAATTGTCTGACCTTGGTTTCTTTGTGGACTTGGGCACACTTGCTTGCAAGTCATGGTTCAGATGCCACTAGTACTCCTTAAATGTTTATTATCTTGAACACCTCATACTCTCTCTAAACCACTGATTCTCAAGGTAGGGAGCAAAAAAAAAGGAGATGTGAAGTACTAGGAAATGTTTATAAATGAATAAGCAACTTTCCAAAATACTGTGCCCTGGCCGGTTCAGTTCAGTGCATAGAGCATTGGCCTGCAGACAGAGGGGTCCCAGGTTTGATTCCGGTCAAGGGCACATGCCTGGGTTGTGGGCTCGATCCCCTATGGGGGGCATGCAGGAGGCAGCTGATCTATGATTCTCTCTCATCATTGATGTTTCTCTCTCTCTCTCCCGCTCTCTTACTCTCTGAAATCAATAAAAATATATTTAAAAAAATACTAAACATCCTTCACAGCCAAGATGCTGATACATCCTTCTTAGTGGGGCATCATCTCACCCACCCCTTGAAAATCACAATGTGTCCAGAGAAAAAGATGTTAATGACGGGAGAGTCCTTGAAAATACAAAATCAGAAAACTGTGAACAGCCCATCTCCCTCCTCCTTTATTCTCATCCTTCATCTGCTCCAATAATAGGATTTACTTGGGGCACAACATTCCCACAGTTGTACTAAGATGGAGGTAAGTATATATTTGGCCTTCCTTTTCACTGTCTTGCAGCTATTACAGACAAACTGCATACACATCTATACGCTTCCCCTCAAAAATCTCCATGTTCTCAGTACAATATTTCGTGTTTACAAAGTTACTAGGATGAAAATGTAGTCATGGATTCTGGAGTCCCAGCTTGAGTGTAAAAGCCATATCTACCTTTAGGAGTCAGATACGTTTAGACAAATCTGGGTTGAAGTCACCTGGGATCTGTTTGTGAAAGGGACTCGGATGTCTCCAGGGAAGGTACTTACTCTAAAGGGAGAGAAAATCAGGCAAACAACTTTGCCCCTCTATCGCCTGACTCTGAGGGAAATGTCATTCTGAGCTCTCCCTGGAGGCAGTCACTACGAGCTCTTGTCCTTGCCACCACTTCATGGATTCCTGTCTCAGTCATAAGGAAAAAGGAGGATTCAAAAAAATTTTGGAAGAGGTTATTTTTCACTAAAAACCTCTGTAAGACATTAGGGCAAGATGTTTCCTTCTGTGGTATCTACTTTGCATATAATACATCATAGGCCTCACATACCAAGAATAGCACAGATTACAGTGTGATAGTATGGTTCGTCATGGTACCTTGATCCTGAGTGCATGATGAAGTGCAGTTTACAACAGCACCCCTGAGTCATTTGGGGAGCACCCAAAAATAGCACCTCTGTCATAAATACTAGTATCTTTAAGATGGACACACATACTACCACACAGGGCACACAGACCTCAGGAGAGGACCTGCCCACTGCCTCTGAGTCCACTGTGAGTACCCATGACCTATTCTCCCAGCCACAACCAGAGCCTCCCAGAAATAGTGGAGTAATCATAACAGAAATAATAGCATATGGGCTTGGAGAGGACAGAAAGATCCTCAATTTTAGTCGAGGGTAAGCATACTTAGAAAAGTTTCCCTGGAATGTAATTTTATTATAATGTTTTTAGATCTCTAAGTAAATGCCACATATAATTTCCACTTAAACATCTTCAGGAGTATTGACATTAAATCACTTGAAGACAAGGTCTCAATCTGCCATAGGTTCAATCAACTGAACTTGCCATTAGTAGAAAATAAAACATTCACACCTTTACTTTTCCTGTTCTCCTCATTCATTCTCTCTTAACCATATAAACATATAGTTAATATACCAAGTATATTAGCAGTGCACTGAAGAATTCCCGAGATGTCCTCGATTTCCTCTTTGTTGGAATGGTCCGCATAGGAGCATCTGTTGGAGATATTGTGGAAATTCTTTTCTGCATCCCTATAACTAAGAAGAAAACAAAATCAGCATATGGAGACAAATGTCAGAGCATCTGCGAAGGCGCTCATATACATACGCACAAATGCACGTGCTCTGTGCTCTCAGCATAATCACATTTTAAAATAACTGAACCTTTAAGACATAATTTATGACATTACCCACCATTCACATCAGCATTAGCAAAGTGGACCTGGAACTGGAGACAATCATTAATAAGGAAGCTATGTTTGGGGAAAAAAAATAAATGAGGAAAACCAGAAGGTAGATGAGCTTTATGTAAGTAACGTTTCCTTATGTGAGTATTTCATAGCTGCTGGTAATCTGTTTCTATACAGAACTTGCCTAGAGGAAGAATTAACACCACTAATTTGGTGCATTGGCACCAACTGTGTTGAAAGCAAATACATCTTAACCTCTAGCACAGACAGTCAGGAAGGCAGCGTGGTGCTTGGATAATAAGCAAACAAATTGGAGGCTGACAGAATTTCAATCATGGTCTCAGCATTTTCTTTTTGGATTAACAAAACCAATATGCAATATTATATTAGTTTCAGGTATACAACAGGGCTATTCAACATTAATATACGTAACAAAGTGGTCACCATGCTGCGTCCAGCAACCATCTGTCATCATCCAAGGCTGTCGCGATACTATTGACTAGATTCCCTATGCTGCACATGGCAGCCCTGTGACTTACGTTATAACTGAAACTGTGTACGTCTTGTGCCCCTTCACGTTTTCTACCATTTTCTATCTGTGAGACTGGGGGCAAGTAAGCTCATCTCTGTTAGTCTAACTTTCCTCCCTCATAAAATGGGGGTGATTCCTAGGGTTGTTGTGCGGACGGAATGACAGAATGCTGTAACCAGATGTTGACTGGAACTTCTCCGGCGGCTCTGACTTAGAGCTAAGGCACCAAAGCTCCCACATTCCAAAAGGGAACCCAAGGAGACCAGACGTCTCCAGAACCTCAGCAATGACTAAAGAGCCACTGCCACTGTCACCCACCACCATCTCACAGAAGCGAAGAGAAATGCAAAAGCGAAAAGGAAATCCTTAGAAGAGCCGCTGGCCTAGGAAGGGAGCTTTGTTATCATTTTCCCCTCCCCCATGAGGAAAGGCGAGCAGGGGGGTGCTCCCTGTGGAAGCCCAGCTGCTGAGAGAGCATGGGGCTTGGATGTCTCACTCCTCAGCAGACATCCACTGAGGAAATCCGGACCATCCCTTTGTGCCTCACTGAGTAGAGAAAGAAGTTTGCGGAGAGAGCGGAAAAGAAAGAGAGCCAAACTGGGAATAGCCTGTAGTCCCACCATTCAGCAAGGCAAAAAAAAAAAAAAAGAGCTTTCCATGGATTAGGGAGATGCCACAAAGAGAGGCAAGCCTGATGTTCCATCCACTGTTTTCATAGAGACAGTGGCCGGGGCAGGAATCCCACTAGCAAGACTGAGTGAGACGTGCAGGCCTCAGGTCCAGGGCAGGGCCCTCTGAAGCAAAGTAGGGCCCATCCATGCACCTCACTGAGGACATCATAGCCAAGAAAGGACTATTGCAACAACCAGTGAGGTTTTCCGGTCCATTCCCACCTGACACCACACGTCGGAAGAGAACGGGACCTAGAGGAGTGGCCTGCAGTGTCGGAGTGAACAGCCACATCACATCTGCTCGGCACTGCTCTGCGCGTTCCTCAGGCCAAGCCTGGCCCAGGCACAGAGGGATATACGAGTGAGATGGGGCATGAGATTAAAGATTTCAATTGGTCTGAAGTGGACTTAAACTCCCTGAATGTACCTGGAAAACAGAGTGATGTGCCCACGCTAATACTGAACATGCTAACATGTTCGATGTTGGAGAGAAAAAGTAAAATGGTTTAATGGTTGTACACCTTACTGAGATCTGGGCTTCAAAAAAACAGTTACGCAAAATGCATACTCTAGTTTCTAGAATGCAGTAATCAGTCAATAAAAGGTGGAAAGGGGAACATGGGTGTTAAACATAGACAAAGAAAGTATTACTTTTAAATCAAGTGCCACCATTTTCAAATATTTTTGTCACAGCCTCGATTTGTTCATCTATACAATGATTCTGTGAAATAGATGGTTAGGACTAAATAAAAGAACAGATATAAAGTGCCCCATGTATTGCCTCCAACACAGGGAGCAATCAATAGATATTAGCTTTCATCTGACTTCCTGTTTTTATTCCATGAGATAGTTATTTTTTGTAAATATATAAAAACACTAGATCATGTTTTAGATTAAGAAAAAATCTACAACCACAAAATCTGACCATGGAAGCATAAGTAATACCATCGAAGTTTGTTTCCAGAATAATCAGAATTCACCCACTCCTAATTTTACTTCTAATGTTCTATTGAAATTATTCTTGCTTAGTCCCCACCCAATTGTCAAAAGAAAAAGAGAACAGAAGGTTGGCTGTATAAAACAAACACAAGGCCCACAGTGATGATTGGAGTAATAGAATTTAATTTTAGATGACTATAGGAAATGGCATTCCAGGCCAATATGAGGTTGGCAGCAGTCCTACCCAGGGTATTAGCACAACAATGCTAATTCTGGCAAAAAAAAAAAAAAGTTACTGTCATCATTCTAAATACATATTTCTTTATACTTTCATGTTAAAATATATAATGAACATAAAAACTAAAAAGAGTGATTATCATGTGTTTTCCAATCATCGTTTTAAATAAATCTCTGCTTTGTCTACACTGTCATAGTAACCCACTTTTGTGAGCCTCAGACCAGTAGGAGTAATGCAGTATAAACATGAGTGACAGTAGTTGGGTTAGGCACTCCAGAGGCAGAAATTTAGGTTAAAAAAATTCCAAACTCTGTAAGAAAAAAGTGGTAGCTAGAACATGACGGGGGCATGCTTATGTTTAGCTCCTGATGCTAAACTTTAAAGGCTCAAGGAGGACAGGGGAAGGATGTAGCAATGAAAATTGAGGTGCATAGGAGTCAGGTACTAATGGTGGTAACAATTCAACAAATGAATTGATTATCCTTGTGTACCAAGCACTGTACTACTTTATATGATTATATGACTTTACACATCATTATCATTAATATTTTATTCAAACTTTACCCCAACCCTGTAATTACTAGCCTTTTAAAAATAAGAAAAGTGGGGCTCAGAGTGGTTAAGTAATCTGTCCAGGATCAAAGGTAGAATCTGACTTTTAAGTCTAATGTATCTGGTATGCCTGCTTCCAAAGCACATTTTCTCAGTCCCTGCTCTATACTACACAACAAAGAAGCACAGAGAGAAGGAAGGGCAGAAGACAGTACCAAGAATGACATCAGCCATAAATGTCATCGTAAAGCAGATTTTCCTCCATCCTGACTTCCTTTTTGTTCCCAGGGGAACCCTGGTATCTCCTACTTACCCATTTTCTTCTCAGTATTCTTTCTGCTGGATGTGGCCCAAAAACCTAGTCCATTCCCTAGAGGCTTGAGTTAAAGCAGCACAAGCGTGTACACTCAATGCTCCCTTTTCTCCTTCTAGGTTGAGGGAGGAGAAGACAACTATGCTACACAAGCAAGAAGCTATCCAAGTGAGCATGCTTGTGTGGAATTCATACAGTAATCAAAAGGTACCATAAAATCAATCTGACACACAGTGGCAGAACATTAAGCACTAATGGAAAACTATGCAAATAACTCAAGGTAATTTAGCTATAAGGAAAAGGGTCCTGACTACTAGCACTATAATTTTAGAATTCTATTGGGCCCCAGAAATTATTCCCACCCCTCATTTTACATCTCCTTCCAAAGCACAATTTACTCTTTTATCCATTATATGCATATCTGTGTATATACCCCTAGGGTGCAACTTATTCATCTATTCACACTTCCTCACTGTCCCCCCCGCCCAAAATTGTTAGTCCCTTCTACATACCAAGCATTTACAAAGGTACAGAAATATAAAAGTAAGATAAATAACAAAATAATAAAATAAGTGAGATAATATAAGTTAATGATAAGCACTATGAAAAGGAATAATGAAGAGTAATACAATAAAGAATGATCAGAGTTGGAGGATGAGGTAGGGGATGGAGGGCCACTTTAGATTGGGTGGTCAGGGAAGGTCCTTCAGAAGATATTATATTTAAACAGACACCTAAATGTATGAAAAGAATAATCTACACAAACATTTGGGGACAAAGCATTACAGGAAAATGAAACAGTGCATGCAAGGCCTGGAGGTTGAACAACTTGGTATAGTCGAGATACCGACAGGTGGCTGGAATGCTGGAGTGGAGTGAAATAGGGGGAGTGGAAGGGGATGAAATCAGAGAGGTATGCAGAGGACAGGTCACAGAAAGAATTCAGGTTTTACCCGATCACAGTCAGTCTTAATATGGTTCAAAGCCAGGATTTCAAAGTGTGATCCCTCTGGGAACTCAGACATGCCAACTCTTTTGGCTGAGTTATAATAAATAAGACCTCCCATACTGGTATCTCACCTAAAAAATATATGAATTTGATGCTGTGAATACAATAAAAACAAGGCAGTGTGACAATAAAAACAAAGTAGAGTTGTTTGCATGTGTTTATGTTTTATTCAGACACAAGTGATTAATAAATCTGAATTGTATTTCTCAAAAAAATTCTTTTTAAGAATGCCAATTCTTGAGCCTCTCCCAGTCAACCTGGTCAGGAACTGTGGAGGCGAGCCCAGCAATCTGAGTTTCAGCAAATCTGACGGGTGACTCTGATACCTGTTAACGCTTGAGAACCACTGGTCTAAAGGAAATGGTATGACCTAATTTTTTAGTCATTCGGCTGCAGTGAGAATACAGTGCTAAGGGACAGGAGTAGATACCAAAAAACTAGATGGGAACCTCTAAGTGAGAGAGGACGGTGACAGTGGAGAGGAGGAGATTTATCACACCGCATGAATAAATTATTTTAGTGCTCATTTTCCAATTTGAATGATGTCTATGAATAAGTAAATGAACAAGTGAATGGATAAGTTAAGGAGCAGAGCAAACGTTTAAAGATAAAGTTGCTGAGCTGCACAGAGGCTATCTTACTCCCTAATGAGAAGCTCCATCCTCTACCCCCTCCCATCCCTCCATCTGTGTGATCCTTTGAACAGCTGCTCCCTGCATTCAAGTCTAGGTCTTAGAGACTAAAAATGTCTCTGAGATGTCTATGGGCTACTGGTATATGAATTCATCAAGAGGAAGAATCATGAAATCCTGGAGCTCTAATAAATAAAGCAGGTCCAAGGGCAGAGCTTTAAAGGAGAGGAAAGGGAGGGTGTGAAGGTCAGTGGTTAGAGGCTAGATGAAGAAACTGAGAAGGGCGAGCTCCTACTCCCTGCAATCCTCTGGATTCATCACCCCACCCCCCAAGGCACCCAAAAGCTGAATTACCTCAAGACAAGCCTTAGGCAAAGCCCCATTTCCCAATTAGGAAAAGCATCTATTCCCCACTCTCACCGCCCCAGGAATATGTAAAATAATACTTGCCAGCACTTGCTACCTGAAATCCCTTTAACTAAAACAGAAAAGAAGAAAAAAACATTCCTTTTCACAGTTAGAGATAAAAAGCCTTCATGTGTATTTTCTTAAGAGGAACAACACCTTGGTGTGAATACATGTAAATCCAAATGTTAGTGGTAATAGATGCCCTCCTTTCTCAGTACTGAGAAGAGAAAAGAAGCGGAAAGAAGAAGTCTAAAAGGCAAAGGAGGGCTTTGGACATGGAAGCCATGACTGAAGGAAAGGAAGGAGAAAGTCAAGAAAAGCAAATGTAACCCTATTCTGCCAACTCGTCCTTTTTGTCTTCATGGGCATGAGTACAAATACAGGCAGTGAGCAAAGGTGCTTCAAGTCCACAGAAGGCAGCCAGCACCCACGGAAGAAGTATGCTAACAGATCTATTTGGAACCAGTGGGACATCAGGACACCTCTTTATATTGGAGTCACATTCCCTGTCTGTTTTCATTATACTGTGTCTGCATTAAACAGAACTAGAAAGGACATTTCGGCAATGAACAAAAAACCACCACAGGCTATTTCTACACAGATGGAGAGAAGGGAGAGTTGAGGCAGTAACTTAGATAAAAGACAACTCCATCTTAAAAACAAAATATAAATTTTCAGCTGATAATGGTAATATAGTCTAGTTGATCAAATATAGTCTATTTGATCAAATTTACAAGATTCCCAATCCAATTTGCCTGGAAGACAAAATTTAGTTCACAAATGGGACTATTTTATCAGTTATTATTTGATTTCACATTAGAAAGGGCATTCATAACTCCATAAAACATTTTGCATTTGATTACTAACATTGTCATCAAATATTAATAATAATGATGATAATACACCCGACAGCAAATATGTAGTACTTGCCATATACTAGAAACTGATCTAAGAATATTGACAAAGTTAATCCAACACCATTCTTAGAAAGCAGCATATCCAATGAGAGTGATTAAGTTTTATTTAGAATGTGTGGAGAGAGATTAATTTGACATTCTTACATTCTTTATCTCCATTAGGTTAAACCATTTAAAATCCCTAATGGCCTCAAACTAAAAGCCATCTCATGAGTTTAAATAATGTGTTTTTTCCTAGTGAGGCACTCTTGAGGATTGATATGACAAAGTTTCAAAGCAATTCCCTTTGAAATGACAACATAATCATCAAGCACTTCAAGTATATGGCATCGTACTAGGAATGGAGTTATTTTTCTACTAAGTTTCTTTCCTTTTGTTTTATAAAAAAAAAATTATGTAACACCTTAATAGAAAAAAATATATATCCTTGATCCCCATGGCAATGACTAGTAACCATAAATGTTCAATGATTCCAAAAGCATGTCAAGAGGTATCAGGATTTGAATCTTAATTCCTCAAAAGTTCTTAAAAACTTACCAAGAAAGATCATGGTAGCACATAGAGAATATTAACAAGGTGAGTTAAAAATATGCCTTCCTAATGCCAATGAATTTAATTTAAATAGCTAGATTGCATCGGAAAGTAAATCTAGGATTTTGTATTTGCCAATTGCTTCCTGCAACAGCCAATCAAAGGTCATATGTGGAGTCTAATGAACAAAATAAACTGATGAACAAAATAGATCCAGACACATTGAGGGGGAGGAGGGTGATTAACCAAAGAACTTATATGCATGTATGCATAACCCATGAACACAAACAAGGGTGTGGTGAAAGCCTGGGACGGGGGGGGCAGGGTGAAGGGAGTCAATGGGGGGAAAAGGGGGAACATTTGTAATACTTTCAACAATAAAGATAATTTTTTAAAGAGGTAAGGGGGGGTATACCTTTCATTCATTTGGAGCTTTCTATTTACAAAATACTTTCATTGAAATTATCTCATTTAATAATGACACCTAATCCTTGCTTTAATTATTATTATCATCATCACCCTCTACAAAAGAGATAGTTACTTAAAAGTTCTACGTGGCCCTGAAATGTTTTTTGACCTCGTCTTACTTTACACCGTATCACAATGATGTCAACAAATGGGGCATAAAAAAGAAAAAATGTGGCATGTGACTCTAGCTAAAATAATACCTCTCACTGAACTGTGTTAAACTTGTAATGATTTTGAGTAAACTTTACTGAAGGATTAAAGCATCTTAGTTGGTACCATTAAATCTTAGCACATTACTAAGGCAAAGTTATGAGATGAAATGAAATGGATGAAAATGAGAGAATAAAAACAACAACAAAAAAGAAGAAAAAATAAAAAGTAATACCAAAGGGAATTTTATTTAAAAGGATTAAACACAAATAAGCCTAAGGCAGTCATTCCAGGGTCCCGCATGAGCTACCCTCCATGCTGAGAGCACAGCCCCTATGAAATAAAGCTGACCTGGTGGCAAAAAACTACATGCTCAACTGCTATGCTTGAGTAATTATCTTTAATTTGCCCCGGTAATGACCAAAATCCATTTTTACTTACCCAATAACTTGGTGCTCATAATACTGCAATGTCCTCTTGAGAGTTTGCTGAATCGTCTGAGGCTACAGAATAATAATAATAATAATAATAAATTATCAGCAAATCAGTGTCATTCCCATTCTGAGCATCATAGGCAGATATGTAGCTTCTGATTTATCTCATAAGAGTTTTTTTTTCTCTTTAAAATATTAACCCATGATGCATTTTGCCATGTATTTTCCCCACAGGAACTAATATGAGGCACTCGGTAATTACCCAGAATTTCCCAATTTCCCAATACAATAGCATTTCCTAGCCATATTTTTCCCAATTATTTTGTAGCAGCTATTAAGTTCAATAAAACACTCATTGGCTGCCTATAATAAACCTAGGCCCCAGGGGCAGTGGGGGGGGGGGGATGTACTGAGGAAACATGGGTCATGCACAGGGCAAGCCTGACTTCCTTACCATCCAAGAGATTCCAAACAAGGGTTCTGGAACCTCCTTGCGGGACCACAAGTGCTCAGGGCAAGAAATGGGGTCGGAAGCAAATACCTAAACAGCTCATGACCAAATTTTATAATCCTCTCCTCTCCATGCCAGCTGAAAATAGAGTTTCTTAAGCCCAGACCAAAAAATGATTCTTAGGTTTATTTAGGCAACAGAGCCTAAACTTGGAATTTCAGACCCATGGAGCCATAAAAGTGACACTAAGATCCTAGAACATACATCTTATTAACAAATTAAGATAAAACCCAAATTTTCAGTGTCAAAAGTGTAAATTTTAAAATAATAAAATGTTGTAGTCAATCAAGCAGAAAAAAAAGCTATCAAATGTTTATCAAAATATTGATCCATTATAGCGATGGATGAGTTTTAGGGAATATCATGACTCTGACACAGACTCTTCAAGATGTGAGACAGCAAGGTAGTTAGATGACCTCGTGGGCTCCCACTAACTAAGCTACAGGAACCCAGACAAGTCTAAAAGGGTCCCCTCGGAAAGGATCTAGCACTGTGCTGGGCCCTAAGAAGCAGGTCAGAAATATCAACTTATTTCCCGTCCCTCATCTTTCCAAGTGGCCATCCCAACAATATGTAACTTGGAGGAGACGACGAAGGTTGTTGTCAAGGTTCACTTGAATCCCTCCCATGTCCACCTTGTTATGAAAACATCCAGAATGGATATGATTATCTCCCTAACACTCCTCAAAGTACCAGCATCCTCCTTCGTGGGGGATGGCTGTGTGAAAGCTAGGGAAAAAAGTGAACTTCAATTACATCAAGAGCATCCACTGAGATGTTCTACGCTGTCACTTAGGAAAGCCCGTACCCTGAGCAAACCAAAGGCCTCACACACAATCTTCACCCCTGCCGAGCCAATTCAGAAATTAATTCTAGGAGGAATCAGACTCTGAGTGTTCAAAGAAAGAGATACAGGGCAGCTTCTTCCAACGGCTGTTTTTCATTTACTAGCACAATAGGTTAAAAAAGATGAACATGAGCCTTCAGACTGGCGCAGATGTTTCTACTCATCGGGACAGAATCAAAGCAGAGTCAATAAAACGTGCCTAGGAAAGAAAAATCATTCCTGAACCAAGAAGCCATGGAGCTGCTGAGAAAACGAAGGAGGAGGAAGCAGACCCAGCAATCCTGGAGCACAGGAAAAGTGTGCTTTAAGAATCCACCCCACAGCCAACCTAAACCAAGTCATTATCACTCACCGGCTCAGTACCCCTGGGAGCTGGGCCTCTTGCACTGGTTTGGCAGTTTCTGGGCTAAGATAACTTTCTCTTGGCAACATGCCCTAAATGCAGTTAATATCCACAGGGGGATTATCCTCCCCATAACCTCTGGTCCCAAAACATGGAGCAGAAAGCAGGAACTAGAGAGTGCACAGGACCCGTTAAGACCAGAATGACCTCATTTTTACTAAAGAACATTTTCTTTTGGTCCCAGTACCAGGAATTTCCCAGGTTTTAAAAAGTGCATGTTTGTGAAAGGAGTTAAGCCTTTTAAAGAGATGACTTTTTTTTCTTATGTGAAGCAGTCACTTTTTACTCCCCAGGAGTTAAACTTATAGTTCCCAAATACATTAAAAGGAAAATGTTCTCCGAGCACACTGAACGAAGCTTCGACTTGCGAGAGCATTTATGTCCTTCTGTTGCTTGCTAGGCCAGTGGGCACATTCTGATGGAGGAGTACCCTAATTAAGTTAATAACAATGTACCTACCTATATCATTTAAGTTTAAAAAATTTGGCTCTCAAAAGACATTTCAATCGTTGTACTGTTGATATTTGGCTCTGTTGACTAATGAGTTTGCCAGCCACTGGTGTAAGCTACAATGATGGAGGCTGACTGCAGAGTAGCCCCTGATCTTCAGCAAGCCAAGGGTGACTTCAACACAAACCTGATTCCTGGGAGTGTCAAGTCGCGGAGATTCACTGGTACCTTCTCTAGAGTTTGCCTGATCGCTCAACCCATGGCTTTATCAGTGAGAGACAGACATCCTCACATAATCTCAGGGTCTCTCTGATCTAAATAAAAAAGCATTCAGTGAAGACCCACCTGTGGGCCAAAGCCTTCCGTAGGGTAACTTCTGCCTTGACAGTCATAGGGTCCAGTTATTAAGAGTCTAGGTATGCCAGTGATGCAAGTCAGTGTAGCGTAATGAGGAAAGCAAGGGCTCTGCAAATCTACAGACCTTCTACTATTCTTTTCCTTAAGAATGCAACTCCATACCTGTCCTCTACTCCACATACCCATCCAACTTTCTAAAGGGTGAGATTCTGTTTTTCTCATCTGTGTCTTTCCTTTTCTTCAAGAAGGAGTTTAAAAAGATGATTTTGAAAAGAGAATTTAGGGTCAAATTGAGTTCAAAATCCATCTCTGTGACTCACTAGCTAGGGCAATTTATTTAACCTCTCTGAAATATGAAATATGATTTTTATGTATATATTATTTGTATGGGAATTAGTGGAAATACTTAAAGCAAAGTCTCTGGCGCACAGTAGGTACATAATAAATACTGGTTGTCACCATAATGGCTAGAAAGCATGGCTCCTGCTCTCAACGTCTCATAATCCAGTGGAAGGCACTCTCCCCACAAGTGTAATGTTTCAAGATACTCATCACCTAAAAAAACCAACAGGCCCACCGCTCCTGCAAACAATGAGAAAATGGTGCCCATTCCAATAGACAACAGGAAAAAATAGAAAAGTGGCAGCCACATTTAAAATATTTTCAGTGAAACTCAGATCAGGCCTAGAGAGAGGGTGACAAAAGCAGAATTCTCAAAATTAAGATTGAGGATAGACCTAAATCCAGGCCTATAAATGGGAAGCACATTGAAGCACCACAGCTAAGATCAGCACCCCAGGCCTTAATGCTTTACAACGAATAAGAAACAACCCATGAACCTCCTTCCTGGAACACAAAGAATGTGTGACCAGAGAGCAGTGTGACCTCATAATTTCAAGGCCATGTGCTGGACAAGCAGAGAAACAAGAGTGGGAGACAAAAGCCATTGTTCTTATAAAAAAGAAAACCCAGTAGGTCTGTGACTTTTCTCCACTTCCCCCAAACTAGGATTTAGATAGTGGCCTCTTACTGTCTTATTGTCCCTACTTAACACAAAGCGGCAATGGATAGGAAGACAGTTGGAAAGAAAACGCAGCCATCTGTGTCCTGCACACATATTGTCTGGGGCTCAAAAAGAAGGAACCCAAAAGCTTCCGTCCTGTGGCAACAAGAGCCATCTCCATCCAGCCTCACTAACAGCCTCACACTCCTGGGCCGGCAGTCACTGACCTCCACAGACTAAATGTTAAGCTCATGAAAGGTCCTGGGATCCAAACAGCCAGCCATGAAACAGTCCCAGCCGGGCCAGAGAAGTGATGCCTGAGGAGTGGGAGGAAGCAGTTCCCAGAAGCTGGCCCTGCAGACAGCCCTGTGGAGGCTCCCACAGTCAGGCCCTGCTCTGGACATCTGCACCGGACGGTGTGGGGACCCATCGGGCAGGAGGCAGGGAGACAAGTTGTGTGTGTGTGTGTGTGTGTGTGTGTGTGTGTGTGTGTGTGTGCTGTATGCACACAGCATGAAACACAGTCGTCATCGTACTAGGTACACGTTCATCAAAATTTCACAGACATGAAGAAGGTGAGGCTCCTATTGGTTAAGTGAATATCCCAAGATCACACAACTAGTAAATGAATAAGTAACTGCAAATCAGAACCAGCTTTAAGTGTGTCTTCTTCCCACTAGATGCATTGAGGGTCCCTGTCACCTTTAGTATTCTGTGTCTCCATGTCCATTTTTATATATACAACACTTCATCTTGCCAAAAATATGCAACAAAAATTCCACAGGTAATTTAAAAACAAATTGTCTGGCTGTGGTGGCTCAGTGGATTGAGCATCCTTCCATGGACCAAGAGATCATAGTTCAATTCCCAGTGGGGGAACATGCCCAGGTTATGGGCTCGATCCCCAGTAGGGAGCATGCAGGAGGCAGCCAATCAGTGATTCTCATCATTGATGTTTCTATCTCTCTCTCCCTTTCCCTTCATCTCTGGAATCAATAAAAATATATTTTAAAAAATAAAAACAAATTCACTTCTGCTTTATAACATATATTCATTCATAAGCTACAGAATTAATGGAAACAATAGGTGTACCTTTAAAGAAATAGCTATAAATAACCATGTTATTATATTTACTTAAATATGAGAAAATTATATTTCAG